CTTTCGCTTGAGCCACCGCCGGCGAAATGGCGGCTCGTCCGAGCTTGCAGGATTTTCACGTCTCAGGCATTCCTTGGAACTAGGGTTTGGGGTTTAGGGTTTAGGGTTTAGAGTTTAGGGTTTAAAGTTTAAGGTTTCATCCGTATTTTGGAGTTTCCAAAGATGAGGGGCACCAATACAGACCCCCAAAGTTGTAGAAACCTTTTGTATGTACGTACCCCAAAATGGGACCGTGATTCTCCATTGTAGGAAAAATACCGCTAAATCCTATGACATCCCTGCCCCTAACCCCTAAAACCCAAACCCCTAAAGACTCCCTTACTATCCCCACGCACCCTACCCTAAACCGGAAAACCTAAAATCTAAACCCTAAACCCTAAACAAGAAAAAAACCCTAAACCCTTAGATGTTTTGAGAAAAGCCAAGGAGCCTGGGGTGAACTCATCTTGTTGCTGCTGAGAGCCCGTTTCACCTGGCAAGGTTGCTTCTACAGTGGTTAAGGGGTGGTTTAGGGGTTTAGGGTTTTTGGGGTTTAGGGGTTCAGGGGTTTAGGGTTTTAGGGTTTAGGGTTAAGGGGTTTAAGGTTGAGGGTTTAGAGCGTTTAGGGTCTAGGGAGAAGGGTTGATGGTTTAGGGCTCAGGGTTTAGGATTTAGGGTTCAGGGATTCGGGCTTCGGGTTGATGGCTTAGGAAGGTTTGGGAATTAGGGCTTGCAGATTAGGATTCTTAACCTCAGGGGTAAGACTTCAGGATTTAGGGTTCTCAGGGGTTTTGGTTTTGGATTTAGGGCTGAAGGTTTAGCGCTTGGGGGGTTAGGCTTCTTAGGGGTTAGGGTTTAGGATTTAGGGTTTGCGGCTTGCGGATTAGGGTTCTTAAGGGCTTAGGGCTTGGGATTAAGGTAATCATGAAGAATCAAATGGAACATCGCATGGAATGAAATATAAGCTTTACAAGGGGGGATATCTAGGGACGTATGCAACAAGAAAGGAGAAGCCCATGGAAAAGCATTGAAAAAGACATCGAAACTGAGATCATGTCCTGGATTTATAGGGTTTGGGTCTTGCAAGGTCCAAATGGATCCGACAAATCCAACCCCGAAAACATTTTGTGAAACTAGGAGATTATTTGGGACCCTGAACCCTAAACCCTAAACAGGCTCAGGGGGTCTTGGATAGTAGTGGTTTGCAGCTCTGGGCTTGTAAGGTGTAAGTTTTGGCTTAGGGTCTACGGGGCTTAGGATTAGGGCTGTATCAATTATGGCACTATGTATGTGTATGACTCTTCCTCTTGCTAGCCTTTCCATGCCTACTGGCCAACCAAACTGCTGAGACTGATACAACAAATAACACTGCGACTACTAGACCACTACGAGCATCACGACAAATATCAATACTACCACAGCTACGGCGACGGTTGTTGTTTACTGCACCGCTTCAAAACCCCTCGGCAGTCTATCCCCAACCATTATCGTCGACACAATGCTAATCAGTGTGACTGTCTCTTCCGTGGAGCTGAGTGGCTTCCAGCTTCGTGCCGTTGCGCAGGACAATGAACCGGGATGGTGCACTCCTAGGTTCGGGTGGAGCGACACTCCATCGGCTACGCGTACAGTACTGACATGCACCTTGACTCAGCGCCAGGCCCCAACAGCTCATCAATTGCCAAAGCATCGTGGAAAATCACGAAGCCAAAGCCGCGATGATTCTGTGGTCCATTTGCCTCACAAATAAGCATGTCACAGCTGAATCAAAGTGAGCAATTTCAGAACATCAGCCACAAGCCTCCTACAGGATCGTATCTCTAGCGGAACATGGATCAACCCTCCCTCAACCCTGAACCCTTAAACCCTGACTGAGGCCGCAGCACCATTCCCAGCTTCGTCAGTTGTTCGACACCTTTTTGAGGCACGTCGCTGGTAGGGGATGGATTAGGCTGTTTGCCCTTATAGTAACAGTTACTCAGGTTTAGGGTACTCGGAATTAGAATAGCGTCTTACAGTAAGAAGCAGCCTTTTCAGGACAGTGAGTGCAAGGTGGAGTAGCGACCTGCCTACGGGGTCGAATATTTGCAGCTCGAGAAATCACAAAAAAAAATCAGGAGGCGTCAATCCATGGGCACTTGTTTCATTGCGTGAGCCAGTGCTCTAACGCCGCAGTTCAGCCCGAAAACAAGCTTCCTGGCGGTCCCAAGGGAATGAATTTGAAAACACGCATAGTTCCCTCACTCCTTGGGAAATTGGCCAGCATGCTTGATGCGTCACAAAATGAAACCTTTACGACTTCGCACTCGCGAAATCCGCCTGCTCCGGTGCGCCCCCGGTAGTGCCTTTCAGGGCATCAAGCATGCCTCCGCCCTCGAGGATGGCGAGGAAGAACTGAAATGGCTTCGAGTTCTCGAACTTGACCACGGCCTTGATTCCATCCGGCAGGCCCTTCACTTCAACGGAATCCATGCTGTCAAGAGCTTTGCCCGCCTCCAGAATAAGCTCCACGGCTGCCAAGGCGGCCGGGGAGCCACGTTCATCCTGCGGGATGTGCTGAGAAAGGACTTTGTACTGCTCTTGAAGACTCGTCAGGGTAAGGTTGGCAACAGGCAAGCTGTGGTAAAGGTCCTGCATCATGTCATCATCATATGCCACTTTGACGTCGAAAGAGCCTCCGGCGAACAGCTGCACCAGTGTTCCCACCAACTTCACAGCATACTCCCGCGGGTTCGAGCCGGCACACACAGGTGCGCAGGTGAGGTTCATCTTGCACTGCTCCTGCATGTATCCAGGAGCTGCCATGTCGTCAAAGCTCGGCCTTAAGCATGTGTCCAAGGAGCAGCACTGGCCGGTTCCGTACCCCACGCAGGGAACATCTGTGCCCTCGCAGTTCGACATCCTTGAGTGAGTCACGGTCCTGTTGATGAAATCGACAATGCTCTTCTCCAACTCGTCCGTCAAGGTGGCGTCCAGCAAAAACTTGGCGCCAGTCTTCGCGTGAGACCACAATGGTTCATCGGGATGCTGAAGCATATGCTCCATTTTGTTGTTGACGGACACGGTCGCGGTGACGTGGCCGACATGTTTCATGATTTCCTGAATATTTTTGTCCGTATTCGCCTTGTCCGGCGAAGGAAGTGGCGTCAAAAAAGAGATCGTGCTGCCGGTATGAGAGACAGTTACCAGCTGTGCCATGTCGAACTGCTTCAGCTTCTCGTTCATGTGCTCCACGAAGCTGGCGGCGAGATCTGCATCCTTTGCAGTGACGTTCACCTCCAAGGCGAAGTAACCACTGCCATCAGAACTCTTGTCTCCATGATACAGCATGTAGGAGATGTTCTCGTGAGTCTCGAAGTCTTCTTCCAGCGAAGGTCCCATGGAGAGCGATGCTCTCACAGGGGTCAGCTTTGTTGGTGCTGCAGGAAGCTCGCTGTCGATGGCCTCCATTACGGCTTCCACCTTCTCATCTGCCTTGAGCACTAGTTCTCATTGCTTCCCGGAGTAATGAGGCTCATGACACCAGCATCCTGCATGAACTCGCCCAGAATCTTGAAGGGCTGCACGTTCTGGAAAGTTATGACAGCAGAGACGCCGGGCAAGTTCTTAACCTCAACGGAGTCAAGGGTATCGAGACAATCGCTGGCCTTTGAAAACAAGCTGGCGGCTTGCATAATCCCCGGCTGCTGGAGAATATGAGGCGGAATAGCTTCCATGTGCGATTTCATCATGCTCGCGAGGCTGCTGTAGGACATGTTGAACATGGGAACCATTGCGATCAGCTCCTTGCGCTTCGCGTCATCATATGCCAAACGCATATCTGCCGAAGCACCCTTAAACACACTCACAAGCTTCTTCACCACGTCAACAGCCATGTTCTCCTTAGAGTTGATCTCCTCCATGCAGTACTCCATGCAGATGCTTGCGTTATACAGGCACTGGTTCGACTTCTAGTACGTGATGTTGCTACGCAGATCTGAGTCTGGATTCTCCACGCAGGCGCGAGTGGAACAGCATGGACCTTCCCAAGAATACCTGCATGGGAGCTCTTGAGCAGCGCAGTCCCCACGCGGAGGGGGAGAAATGTGAACCTCAGTCTTGGACTTGACAAATGTAACTAGCGAGTCTGCCACGGCTCTCTCCATGGCCTTGGTGAGGCGCACATCGAACTCGTAGCGGATCCTCTTGAACACCTCAGCCATGAAAGGGGCGTCCTTGTCCTCAAGGATCTCATCGGGGCTGGCCAGAACAGCTTCAGTGAAGTTCACGTGGTCCACCTGGGAGATGAACATTTCGAGGCTGTGCTCCGCTCCTGGAAGGTAGGGCCGGGGTGGACGTCAACAGCATGATCGATCCCTTGCAGGTGGCTTTCACAAACACGTCCGCCTGGATTGTATGGAGCTCCGCCATCAACTTCTCAGTGAAATCCTGGCACTTTTCGGCACTCTGGGCGGTCATCTTCGCCTCTAGCCAGTACTGTCCCGCTGGCTCACCCGGAGGCCCACCAGGGCCCACGAAGATGTTGGAGATGTGGTTCGCATGTAGATCTTCAAGGGAGGGACCGACTTGGGACAAGCTACGCAGCTTCGCCCAGGTCCCAAGGGCGCCAGCAGACTTCTGTAGCTCCTCATCCACGACTTCCACACTGTGCTCCACCGCTGTTTCGACTTTTTCGATGGCTTCTTCCGGAGTCTTGGCAGAGGGTTGAAGGACGTCCCATGAAGACAGTGCTTGACGACGACCCAGGACGGGCGCCAACAGGCACGCGGCAAAGATAGGGGCAAAGGCAGGCATGACAGGCAATGCTTGAGGGATTTGGCAAAGGAACGAGAGGGTTCTGATTAGATCAGAAGATAGGAAGCTTGGGCCGTGAGCCGAAATGACGATGGAACCGTTCAGACTTCCGACCACTCAAGCCCGGACACAAAACTCGAAGCCCGAGCTTGGGTGCGAACTTTTGAAGCCAAGCTTTCTTCACGCCAGCGTGCTCGCTGAATATGGCCTCAGGCCGACAAGCAAAATCAGGGGTTGCCAAAAAAACATGCCCCCCCCCCCTTGTCTTTTGAAATGCCTTTGCTTAGGATTCAATACTTTAGAAAAACAGGGGGTCCATACTTGTGGAAATGAACAATGCTAAAAATTTGTCTACTCTGCTAACTAACTCTTGACCTGCCTCGGCCAATTCTGGCTAAGCGCTCCACTGTAATCTTGAATACACTATGATACTCCCCTCCGGCAACCTAAAGTCCTCTTCTTAATCTGCTCATACTGCTACTCAGAAGGCAAATCAAACTTTGCGGACAATAAACTCAAATTCAAGAAGCATGTTACCGAGCTTGCAGCGTAAAGGTCGTCTTGGTTCAAATCCTGCGGGACGCCTCCAACAAAAACCTCAGGCACAGAGGTAGCATGTGCCTTGGAAGTGGCGCGGGTACCTGCCTCTGTTGAGCCTACTATGGGGCCCTAAACGATTGTAATTCCTAAGACTTTAGGGATTTAAGGTGGTGCAAAGTTCCATCAATCAACAGTATATTTGAGTGCAGTCCTTCCTTCATGTTCTCTTCACATCAAAGTCTCATTCCTGGATCGTGAATAACCACAGCATTGGGAACCCCTGGCTTCTGAGGATCACATCGAACAATGCAGGAGAAATCTTACATGTTGTTCAAGAAACGCAATTACGCCAGCATACCATGTGGGATGTCTGCGTAGCGACAACTAAGTCTGTGCGAGAAACGCTACTCCCAATCATCTCTTGTAATCCCTCATTGGTACCAGGTTCATCCCCTGAAAATCTCAAAAAAACTCCAAGTTTCCCGGATTTTGAGCAAATCCCAAATGCATGCATTGCAATCGATCCAATCATGGCAGGCCTTGCGGTCTTGGGCCATATTGTCAGCCGCTTTCAGGCCTGAAACAAACACGGCTCAAGTTGTTCAGCTTATGTCAGGAGTTGAAGTTAAGGGCTTTACGAAAGAGTTTGACATCTTCACCACTCACAAGGTGATGTGATGATCGCAATACGGCTATGGTGCTTCAGCTGCGTAAGATAAGTGCCCACTGGCGTAGGTTGACAGTTCATGGTTTAAGAGTTTTGGGATTGCGGCTTGGTGTTCAGAATGAATATGGCTTGAAAATTTGGAGCTCAAGGGCTTCGTCATAGAGCTTGGGCCCTAGCAAAGCAACTTCACATCATGATTCTTATGTGCCTAGTCTGGTTGGCAAGAGAACCAACCTGGACGATCATGCCAATATTGAGCGAATCGAATCAAGATGTCGTCTTGCCTTAAGCTAAATTCAGCTACTGACACTACCATTCCCCATCGTGTGGGAAGAATGAATTGTGACCCTGCAAAGTGGTCACGACATGAAACTATGTATCTCGGGCCCCGGCCACCAATCACAACTTCAATGTTTCAGATATTCACGATTGTGTTTGAGCCAAGCCACTACTTGGGCAAACAAAGAAGTCACGAAAACCTGGATGACAAGGCTGACGGAAATCCATTGATGTCTGAACTACACAAAATTGAGCAAACGCCATATTACGCTGTCCACATCATTTTCGTTGTGCAGCTTCAACTCCGTGCATTTCAGACATGTGGCTTTACGCTTGAAGCACCCTAAAACAATACATGGATGCTTCGATTTTGTACTGATCGCGCACTAAAACCACCGTGTTTGTGGCGACGCTTCTAACTGGCATAGAACGAAATCTGTCATGTACACCCGAAGGCTTCGAAAATGTAGCCTCAGCCAGAGATCAACAAACTGCACCAAGCATGGACACACATTCACATGAATACACATATTCATATAGGAATTACATATTATTATATATCTATGTAGGACATTTTCGGTGTGCCCAAAAAAAGACTGGGCGGGGACGTGTAACAACAACTTACAAGGCCTTATTCAAAGCTTCCGTGACCAACGGGGTGGTCAAAAAGAGATCAGAATGTAAAGAGACTACTGAATGCAAAAAGGCAATTAACAAGTTGAAGTAAAGGAATTCTGTGCAAGGACATCCGTGCTTAAAAGCACTGAATGTACAAAGACACATTGAAACCCAACATATTGGAAGAACAATGCTCATAGCGCTTTCACAACTCCCAACCGTCAGCCTGCCGGTGTGCCTGTAATGATGGAATAACTGAATAACTGATTTCCTATCAAACTTCATAAGAACTACCCATGACACACCGAATTTCATAACAAGTAAACATATGAAGGAAATGTGCATCACAATATCGGCAAACTATTTCTACTACAGGGCAATTCCAAACTCTTCGAGCTGTCGAAGATCATAGGTGGCGACGAGCTTGCTCGCCAGGGTGGTAAGGAAGGCATCATGACTCACGACCCATGCGCATTTGCATCGATGGCTTCACCATTGATCTCATCGCACGTTTCTACTTTTTATACTGTACCTGCTGTCAATCGTGAGCTTCACCAAAAAGAATCCCGCTGCGTGACAGGAACCCCACACGCGTTGCCTTTCAACATGCATGGCACAACGATCAGAAAACATGCTTATCAAAATAACACAAACATGTTTCCATAGTTTTCCCCGCGAACTTGCACTCAACTCGGAAACGCCAAATCATTTGAAACCACGTTTCTACTTGTTGAAAATTCACCAAATTGTTTCGCTAGCGCTGTTTCGCACAGCCTTTGTAAGTCAAGTTAACCATAGCCCTTTTGGTTGCGTTGCTCAAGATGTCCGAAGTTTGCTCGTTGTGCAATCGGCACGCTGTAGAGTTGCGGCCTCTGGGGTTCCTGAATAAACGCACGTGTGTTTGTGTCGCACACTTGACCGGATTCGGGGCGTTGTGAACCGTTCTGACTCGTATTCTAGGGACGTGCTCAGGCTTCGCGGGAAACTGTGTCTAAGCTTTGCGATTGGTACTCCTGTAAAGGTCCCCCGCAAAGCCAGCACACAGGGGTAGCAGACTCTGCCAATGACGCGCTTGAGACTTTATCTGGGTTGCTGCGCACTACTTCTAAGTCTAGGCCGGTACCCTCAAATCCCAATCAATCCTCTCGCGCCATATCGGCCTCATCTGCTCCTGACTCTGGGGAGCACAGAAAGAAGACCGATAACGGTGCGCAGCGAACTCGTAGGAAAGAAGCCCACCGTCGCATCAACCATCCCAAACATAATCTTGACGTGGACCTGGACAACGAATACATGACTGATGTGGAGAACGAACGGGGGTGAGGAGTCTCGGGATTGATTGTCAAGGAAAAGGGGGCTTCAGTTGATGTCTTCTCGGTGGTCCATTCTACGTCGTCCTGGTTCTACACCTAGATCATCAAGCTCCCGAGTTCGTGCCCGGTCTCCTTCCTTAAGGGGTAGGAGGAGAAAGTCGGTCACCACCCGGAAGTAGTACGACTACCGGGGCAAACTTACACGTGGAGTTTCGTAAGCCATTTCAACATTGATATTG